CTCAAGCATGTATATGGGCTCTTTATGGGGGCAACAGCTTCCAGTAAATCAGCAAAGCTAGAGACCAACTTATTTCTGAATGTGTGGCCATTTCTGGGTAGGGTAGGCAACATAAGGGACATTCTACTTTTCTGCATGATGGTAGATTAGTAGTACCGTTAGCCATGGTAGAGCTATGGTAACCTTTAGAGGCCTGTTATGCAAGGTGCCATTTCCAGTCTGTGCAGTACAAATATTCTGGCTTATATCTCTTTGCCTTTATGCATGTTGCACGTACATGCACGTGTTGAATCCAATAGGCAAATGACTGAGTAGTGATTTTCAGTCCCTTAGATTTTTAGATGTCCAGCTGAAAGTCTATAAAAGATGGTAATTTTAAAAAGTGTCACATGTATACCTTCTGCAAGCAGGCCTGACTAGATGTCTAGGTGAGGCACCCAACAATAACATCTTACCCTTCACAATCATAGATGGCTATTCTGGCATCGAGCAACATTGCGGAATGCAGGTGAGATCTGAATGCAGGCTGTACTGCCTTTAATCACTCCGATATCCCACAATGGGGAATATCAGAGTGATCTTTTTCTACCTTTTTTTGAAGTTGGGCTGAGCAGTTTGACAAAAGTGCCTTTGAACTTGAGATAAAAACTAGAAAAAAATAATACATGTTGCGTTGATGATAGGTGTTTTACAGCCTGTGAGAAGATGTTCCTAGAGGATGAGAACAGCCCTACACATGAACAGCCTGGTAAAAATAACCATTATCAGTAAAAACTTGTGTGTGTGTTATTCAAGCTGGTCAAAACATGCTTCGTTCTCATTAGAACAATGAAAAATCATAATAAATATATCAAGTTATAAACTTTGTGGAAGAGTTTTTTCCAAAATGTTCAGGTTCAAACCACCCCCCTACAAATATTTCACTTCAGAATTGAAAATCTGAAAATGTAATTTCTTTGCAAAAAGATGATAATTTTTTTTAATTGAAAGGTTTTTCAGGAGTTGAAGGTTAGGATCAGTAGTTGGTAATATTTAGTTCTGTTACAAAAATTTTAAGCTGTTACCCTGAAAAAGCTCATTATATATGTGACTATTGTATGTAGACAAGAAGAAGAACAAGTAGAAAATAATTTAAGGCCCTTGAATTTTTTTTTATGCCATTCTTTCTGCAAAGTAAAGCTGTTCAATAAAATCTGCTAGGTCAGGTTAAATATATATATATATATCACTTCTATATATGAAGAAATTTTGTATGGTCAAGACCGATTGTAGCTTTTTTGATCCAGATGGGTTTGCTTATATAGAAATGTAACCATTCTAGTACATAACAAACAATATGAATTCCAGGAGTTGTACTTACAGGAGTTACTGTAATATCCACATTCATGGGTGAAAAAAATTGAAATCTTGTTCTTAGCAAGCAAGTATAATGTGTATTTCACGCACCTTCGATGTCATCACCATTTGCAGATGTTCTGCCAGCCTTAGAGTGCTCCTTTATTAGTGTCTTAGTTCAGTACAGAAGTGAGCTTTTAAAGTAAAATCCCCAGCCCTCCCCGTGCAGGGAGCTGTGGGTCACATCGCAGAGTGCACAAACTGGATTCCTTTGGGGGCAAAAGAAATACAAAGGAGCAGCCGAGGAGTGCACTTCACACTCGTTTGTGGCTGTAGCACACTCAGGCCACGGGACCAGCAAGTTAGAAAGATAGGGAATATGGGCATCAGGAGCAGAGGGTGCCATGCAGTTAGCCTGGTTCACCCGGATGTTTGGCCGACATCATGTGCTGATGAGACTTTGTCTACAACTGCCTGGGTACAGATTTTAGGTACACTTTCAGTAAAGGAGGTTTAACTCTATTGCTAGAGCACCAGAACACAAATGATTTTATACAGGACTTAAAACCAGAAGTTTCCAGCAAAATGAAACAACCTTCAGCAGAGACAGCTCTGACACAGCTCCTTGGAAGTCCCTCCCTGGGAGGCTGCGGGGCTCCTCCTGCTCGGTACATCACTCAGGACAGGGTTTTTATTTCCCAAGTTGCAGTCTTAATGCAGGATTTAAGAGAGCCTCCCTTCTGTTCCCCCTGCCCCAGTTTTGTTGTTGTTTGTTTGTGTTGGGAGTTGGACATTTGAGTTTTCTCTGTGGCTTCCGTTTAGCCTTTGTGCTGAGTACAAAGGCAATGCCTATCTCTTTCCACATCCTCTGCACTGAAAACCCCTTCTGCTGTTTCTGTGAGATGCTAGATCCCAGGTCCTGGGAAGATCACTCTGGGGATAGTCCTTTGCTATTTATATGCTGCTGAGACTACATGGAAATTTCCAAAAAGCTCTAGTACCTCACATACCCTGAAACTCCAAGTCTTTGTCAAAGAGCCTGGCTGCCTACTCCGTATCAGTGACTTGCACAGTTGTTTGCTCATGCCTTTAAACTTTGCCAGAAATTTTCTTCTTTGTGTACCAGATTATGAGGTTGGTCATAAGGAGAAAATCAGGTGGCTTTCCAACATGGGGTAGCACCATGTTTGAATAAGGAGAGGCTCACACATGAGGCCAAATCCTGATTTGTATTTCAGAGATGCAGTTCAGTCTCAGCATAACACAGGCAGGAGCTTTGTGCTAAGAATTTCTTCAACAGGTTCATTTCCCAGAGCTGAATTTTTCATTGAAAACAACGTTTCATGAAAAGTTACTGTAGCTTTGTCTGACTGGTTGACTGAACCTTCCCTTTATGTATATAAAAATTGAGGAAAATAAGAGATGGTGTCAAATATCAGTGTCTGACAGTGACCTTAACAAAACAAATGAGAAACCCCAAACAAACAAACAAAAAACCCTGTGGCCAGTCCTTTGGAAAGGCTGGATTTCCTTCTACCTCACTCAGCATGATTCACCCATTTCAGAGTTCTTTTCTTACTTTTTCCCTAGTTCTGTGCTGCTTCTAAGAGTGCTGAAAAAACTGAGTGCTTCTCAGCTGCCTTGAATCCTTTTCTGACCCCCGGCTGTCAGGATACTCTGATTCATCACAGATACACAGATGAATATGATCTGATCTCTGCCTGATTGAATTCCCCCAAGTTCTACAGGCCAAGTAGTAGAGTCTGCCTGTGCCTTCCAGGAAGCTTTGCCTCTGTTCTGGAGCAGCACAGGTGACAGGAGGTTACTCGGTCCTTGCACATGTCTCTCCTAATGTGTGCTGAAACACTGAATTTAATAGCCACCTTGCGTAGGATTGCTGTAGAGTTGGCAGAGAGGGAAGGGTGTTTCCAAATTTGGACTTAGTCCTCTGGAGGTGCCTTTCCCTGCATCAGCTCAAGTGTTTGAAAAAGGACGAGATGTAGCTAAGCTTCGGTTTTAGAAAAGATAATCACTTAGAGAAGAAAGGACCAGATTTATGTTACTTCATGACAGATAATTCCTTTTAGTCTTGTGAGATATTTCTTTCATTTGTTCTTACACCATATTTGTACAGGATGTAAAACAGGGCTATTTAGAGAGTACGCCAAAAGCGCAGAAGCTCATACTGTCCTTTCCGTATCTCGTGCATGAATCTAATGACATCTGTCCAAGTGTCTGGTAATTCAAACTTTCAGGAAGAAAGAGCAAGCACTGAATAGATCTTGACTCTTTGCCGTTCTTAATTTAACATAAACCTTCTAGTTTATCTGGATCTAATTCCCATGTGAAAGTTCAAAGAAAATAAATGTCAATGTATTTTGTGAATCTCTTACCTACAAAAAATAATGAAAACTTATTCCAGGTGATCTGGACAAATGGAGAACATTGTAGTCTTAATTTTCAGTTGATCCCAAGGAGACTAAACTGCAGGAAGCTACCTGTGCCTCTATTTGTTGGGAATGTAAGGACAGATTACGTAAAGACAGATTATAAATACATACTTCAAAGAACAGATTATGAAGAGCTTGCAGGCCAATGAAGCAGAAAAGTTTATCTTACCAAGAGACATAGACATCACCTGTCTGGAAAATAGCATTTAGGATCTAGATAGACCTTTGGGGTTTCTTTTTTGGCAATACTTTGGCTAACTCAGCTATAAACTGTTTAATACAAAATTGGACTCAGAGCATGCAGTAATTTCATATCTGTAACAACTCTTTTTCTCCATTTTTCAAGGATTTGTGATTTGAATAAGGTACAGGTTTTCATCCTCTCAGAGTGGAGGATGTGGGGAGGCCAACAGCAGATTGTGTGAGAATGTCACTTGTTGACTTACTCATCTCCCTCTCCTTCAGTCTTACAGGTTGTAATGATGGTGGCAGGAGGAATTTGCTGATACTTTGTTGTCATAGTTTGTATTAAATGCCAATAGGTTTTCCTCAGTGATTATTCCTAAGATGCAAAAAGTGAGAAGGGTTTTCTAGTGCAAGGTTATCTTGACTGATGATCATTTTATCAAAGCTCGGTATGTTTCGCTTGCTTCAAGTGAAACAATCTACTTTTCTGGACAAGTGAATAAGCTAATGATACTAAAAATTTAATTTTGTACTATTGATGCTGAATGTAAAAGAACAGATTTGCTGTCCAGGCTTGTGCATTTACAAAGTTTTCATTTTTGATAGAAACTGTGAAACAGTCAGGTTGGCCAAAACATCAAATAATACAGTTACAAAAAAGGTAATACACAGGGTAACACAATTGACTTAAATTGTTGTTTGGTGATTTATATCTTTCACTGAGATTTTTCTCCTCTATCTCCAGACACGTAGTACACAGACACCTACATGTGACCTAGGTTAGATACATTAATATCCCATCCAGTCAAGAGAGACAAGCATCTCCAAAGCATAGTTTGTCTGGCTTACTTTAGGTATTTTCTTTATTATTATTTGACTCTCAAAGTCCTTATTTCTCTCTTTTGACTATTCATGGGAGTCCAGACATCCAGCTCAGATGTAGGTGTATTTTATGGACAGGATAATCCCACCTTCTTGTGTCGTTTAGTTTAACTCAATAATAATTATGATTTATAATTGTGCTTGCAGGTTGGTCAGGACAAAGGAAGCTGTTCTTTTCACAGAAACCCCAGCCCATGTGTTGTTCCTCAAGAGAATGAAAATATTTTCCACACAATATTTGCTTTTTTCACAAAGTCTGGCAGGAAAGTATTGGTAAGAAAGTCGACTTATGGCAAACGTGAACATACAATGTATCTTACAAAAGATTTTGCATGGCTTAGCGTGAAGAACTCAAGCAGATACTTCATTCTAGAGCAGCTGTTTGGGGCAAATATACGGATGTTGTGCTGTGGGGAGATTTAGTGGTTTTAATCATAGAATGGCCTAGGTGGGAAAGGACCTTTCAGATCATGTAGTCTAATCGTCTGGTTTTTAAATGGAAATAGGAAGGTTCAGGAAGTGCAGTGGGGAGGGAGTTGCCAGCACAGTCACACTGGGTGACAGGAGCCCTTGCTCCCAAGGTTCACCAGCAGCAGATGGGGCAGCAGACCCGTGCTGTGCTCAGCTCCCACCCCACGCACAGGGCTGGTGGGCAGTGGTGGCCCCACTCCTCCTGGCCCCGGGTGCTCACCTGGCTCAGCAGCTCTGCAGAGAGCTTAATTTTACCTGGCTGGTCTTCATGCAGGTCTCTATCTAGTTGTCTTCAGGTCTTGAAAGTTGCTGCTATTTCAGTGTGGGAGTGCTGTGCTTTAGCATTTTACTATGTTTACTACGTAACTCAGTCAGCTGGTGTGTTTGCTGTCAAACAATTTGTCACTGAATTTTTTCCTCCTTTGCCTAACAGCTTTTTCCATATTTCCTGTAGGACTGTGAAAGACCAGGCAGGTCCTGCTTAATTATACGCTGCAACTTAAGCTCATTAGCAAAAGCAGAGTCCTGTGATTTAAGTATCTACACGCTGCTGAATACCGAGATACTGAAGAAGGTATGTGCTTCTTCTGTAGCTTGTCTTAAATAACAATTTAAGTATGCTTATGTGCATTGATGGACTCAAGAGTTGCATTCCTTCTGCTCTTTATTAGTGTGTTATAAAAAAGCCATGGTGTCAGAGAAAACAGATCTATTTATCAACAGTGTGTATGGAGGTGTTAATCCTAGTTCTTACCCATTAGCCATTAAAGCAGAAATAAATTAAGTTCAGAAATTTATACGTTGAGAAACAACAAATGAGGGCTTAATTGAGGCCATGGTGTAAGGCTAGAGACTTCAGAAAGTTGAATTGATTTCCAAAAGTCTTTATTCTGAAAAATAAAAAGTAGAGTAAGTGCATGTAAACTGTGACCAACTATATGTCATTCCCTCTGTGTGAACAGAGGCATGGCAGTTTTTTGTAATTTTTTACCTAAAATGATTATTATTCCAAGAAGATACATCACGACCATATTAATACTGAGCCTGACATTTGTGACAAGAAACACATGATTGCAAGTTAATTCCTGTCTTCTCTGAAGCCACTGAATGAGACAGCAAATCTTTTAAATTTCTAGTGATTTACTGTGTCTGAACCTGTTTTCCTATACTTACAAAAATGCTCACTGTGTAATTGTGGCAAGATGCTGTAAGATCATGAGGGTATAAGAGGAGAAAGCTGGTAACAGGAGCCTACTAACATTACCTTATCTTTGATATCTGCTAGATTAAAAGCATTGAAGAGACCCCTTATTAGAAAGCAGTTCCTAAAGACATTGACAGCCCTGAGCTTTTCCAGCTGAAACCAACCAGTCTGCTAATGTTTGTTCATGTTTGAAAACAGAAAACATAGGCAAGGCCAGAGGTTTCAGCTATTTGTTACATGCTTATAGGAATGTTGAAATATGTAAGCAAGTAACTGAGTGCACATAGAACACGCTTCTGGGAAATTCAGTCCTGGGAATAGCCATGATTCATCCTGTCTGCTGGGTCCTTTCCAAGATGGCCATTAGTAACACTTCTTTAAAAGACATACAGTACTTACACATGTCTTTGGGTCAGTATCCCCAAAAATTGAATTGAAAATTGGAATGTGCCTGTTCAAATGCACTGTGTAAAATATAAGAGAAATATATATTAATAAGGGGAGGTGTGTGTTGAATATTTAAGATAATATGGCAGAGCACAGGTTCATATAATTGAGAAGTTTTCATCTTGGGATATACTTGTGTTTATCCCAGGTTTCGCATATCTTTTCTCTGTTCACTTGGAAAACAAATAGGAACTTTTCTTTGATGGTTAATACTGGGCCTGCCTGTGTTGATTGGCAATGTTCTGTCTTTTGAGGTAAATGTGGGAAACGTTAACAGGCCAAATACAAATGATGCATTTGAAATCCAACATACCTGATTTTGTTTTAATCGGAGGTAATGGGCTTGGTTTTGTCTGTTGTTACAGGCTTAAGTTATATTTTTTCAAAGCAGGATTCTAACCAGGATAGGACTAAACTCCCAGCCCAGCCCCTGCTAAGCATTATCTAGATATGTTTATTACACTGGCAAATGTTTGATGTTTTTTTGGGGGGGCAGGGGTTGGGGTTTTTTTTGTTGTTGTTGTTTGGGGCTTTTTTGCACCCTCAGATCCAATTCTTCTTCTTTTCACTTCTCAGGACAGTTCATCAGTCATCCAGTTCGTCACAAGGGCAAAGGTGCGGGTGGACCCTGACCTCAGAGTGGTGGAGGTGCCCAGTGGGAGCCCAGAAGAAAAACCAGTAAGTAGGGAAAGGTTTCCTGGTCCCAGTGTGGTAGAGATTTTTGAGAGCTCTATGCAAACTGAAATTCGTGACTGGGCTTGGGCTGGGCTGGCCCATGAGAGTGCCCAAATTTTGTCTGGCTAGACTAGCAGTGCTGTGAACTGTACTTCTGTGGTTTTGCTCTCTGTGATAACCGTGCCGTCACAGTGAATGATGTCATGTGGAGCAGGAGGATCTGTGTTGTACTTGCCAAAATTGTAATGCCCTTGAGGTATCTGTGCCAAAATTAGGTTTAGCTTCCTGTTCTAGGGTTAACGTCTGCTTTAATCTAATCCAGATTTTCCTTGACAACCTAGTAGAGACTTGAAACCTCAGCAAAGTCTTTTCAGATGTGCCAGTATGAAATATTTAGAAGTGTTAGTGATATTTTGGGCGCTGTGCAAATGGGCAAGGGAGTCTAAACTTTCAGAAACTCGTTTAACTATTCCATTGTGCTGAGCTGATGGAGTTCATGTATGACCTGATACTGCTTTTTGTGTTGATCTGCATGAGGCTGGATTGAAAATTGAAGGGGAAATATTGAAGTTCAAGCTGAATTCACTGTGTAGTTTTGGCTGTAAGCAAAACTGTACAGGACCACCTTCAGAATCTACTGGAGAAAGAGGAGGTGATAGCTTTGGTTTTCTACTACCAAGTTGCAGGTGAAAATTGAATGGGGGCCACATCCAAATTCAGCTTTCTTTTTGCCTGGTGAAATTTCAAAGTTTCATTTCTTATTTCTCTCTCACCTGAGGATCAGAGGTGATTACTTTCAATTTCTCAGCCCATGAAACCATTCTCTCATTGGCTCCATTTCAGTGAGTGCTACTAAGGTTTGAGAGAACACTGAGTTCGACACGCTTTTGGAATACACTGATGTCCCAAGTTAAAGCCCTCATCTCAGAGATACTGGATTTTAAACCCTACAGGCAAAGGAAAAGTTGAACCTGCATCTTTTTACTACCTTCTGTCTGAAAGTAGAAATACCACTACAGTTACCATCATCTCCACCATCATGTCTGCAACCCTAGAGATAACTTTCTGTTTTATTAGACTTGTCAGAAAAAGAAATTGTTGTATATGACAGGACTCCATTTTTTTCTTTTCTGTTTTATTTTCTTTGTCAGGTTTCTGGACCATTCTAAAGAGCATAAAAAAATAGACTTGGCAGCTGAAATGAAAAGCATGTCTAGCCTTCCCTAAGAATGTGCCATATAAGTGACCCACAGCCCTGATTGTTAATACATTGCTTGATCTCTCTTTAGTTCTGCAGTTTGCACACAGCAAATATTGCAATTTTATGGCAAAATTTCATTAATGACTGAAGTAACACCTCACTGTGACACCTATGTCCCAACTGAAATGGAAGAAGCCAGATCTCTCTGCCAAATATTTTGATCTGTAAATGGTTTTAGAATCTCTGAGAATCTCTGAGAATGATCGCCACAATGTAAAATGTGTGGGATCTTATTATTTAATATTCAAAATTTAGATATGCTTTTATCTAGGAATGCAAGCTCTGCTGTATTTCATCGTTATCTAATGCTTGGAGAAAAAAAAAAAAAAAAAGAAAGAAGAAAACTCTACAAACAGGAAACGCCAACATTGACCTTTTCCTGTTCCCGGAAAGCTTTTCATCAAGCCTTGAGCTGCAACAATTATAAAGTGCAGTGTGTGTGCTGGGAAGCTATATTAATCTTCAAACAAGAGCTTGCTCCTAGTTCTGGGAAGCCCTAGCTGTAAAGGAGCATGCTTGACATGTAGTAGCTATGTAACACCAATTTGTAATTTCAAGTCTTTTCTAATGTGAGTGCTGTTCTACAAACAGGAAACGCCAACATTGACCTTTTCCTGTTCCCGGAAAGCTTTTCATCTAAGCCTTGAGCTGCAACAATTATAAAGTGCAGTGTGTGTGCTGGGAAGCTATATTAATCTTCAAACAAGAGCTTGCTCCTAGTTCTGGGAAGCCCTAGCTGTAAAGGAGCATGCTTGACATGTAGTAGCTATGTAACACCAATTTGTAATTTCAAGTCTTTTCTAATGTGAGTGCTGTTTGCTCTCTCCTTTGTGCTATTTCCATATGTCTGTTGGCTTCACCGTTGCTGTATGTTTTGCCTAGGGTCATGTTCAGGGAAAAATTTAAGACATGTGGTTTGGCTCAAGGTCGTCATTTTTCCCCTCTCTCTTTTCTTGTGGAATGCAGAAGGGAATAGTACTCATTGCAAGCCACAGCTATTCAGCTGGAGGTAGGGACAGGAGAGATAAAACGTCTTTGTTCATACTCTTCCTTTCCTTTTCAAAGCTCATCCTGTGTTCTTTTCACTGACTGTGGACTGCGGCACCGTATCTGTTTGGGTACCAGCTCCTTCTGAGCAGTGGTGCATGGACTTCCTTTGAGTCTGTTTATGAAAGTGTTCCCTAACAATGAAAAATATTTTCTTAAAGACTTTATCATGGTGAATTTGAAAAGGCCTTTCTGCTTTCTACAGCTATATGTAGACTTATTAACCATTTACATGGTTCTTTAGAACCAGGTGCCCTTACTCCACTGGGCACTTTTACAATATACTGGACAGTGCAAACTACCCATAAAGAAGACAAAAGGAAATGGAAGACTGGTATTTGTGATGCTAGCCTAAGAAGTACCAGTGGTCTCAGGACCACCCATATAAATATCAGCTTTGGCAGAAACTGTAGTAGGCGATTTCTAAGTCAAGTCAGCTGCAAAAGCTTATGTAAATATCGGGAAGTTGGGTAGCAAGTCTTTGGAATTAACCAGTTTTTTACAAAGTCTTTGGAACTAAAAAATTAATCAATTTTTTACAAAGAAGCATTTATGCAATTTTCAGAAATAATTTCTCTGGATTGGGATCTGATCTGGTTTTATGTGATTTGGAATAATATATTTTCTGTCTCTGGTTACAATAGGCTGTTTGAACGGTTGAAGTGAACAACTCGCACAAAGGTGAGCAGAGTTTGGGTTTGGCTCTGTGATGACAGTTGTATTAGCACGAGCATATATTGGCTGAAACCGATGGCATGGTATTTTCAGGAGGCATACTTTCTTTTCTTGAGCATATGGGTTTCAGTGAGGGTTTGGCTCCTTCTTCTCTGCATGTGAGGCAAAACCAACAATAAGCTCCATGAGACCGCGGTGATCAAATATCAGATCCTAGGATTCAGACTGTGTGCTCTCTGCTTCTGTGCAGGAGAAGGAGTGCTCTTAAGGAGCAAAAGGACTTCCTTCCTTCTGTGAGTGCCAGTGTGGAGGGAAAAATACAGTGGGTTTCACTATGTCAAAATCAGTGAAATATCTCTGAGTCTCCCTGTCTTGAAAGTGAGGGAACGCAAAGCCCATTTTCAGCCCAGTCACTCCAAGTTTAATTCACACAAACAAATGGTTGCCCTACATGGATTTTGTTTAATTTTTTTATTTTTTTTTTTGCTCAGGATTTATAGCATCCTAGAATGGTTTGGGTTGGAAGGGACCTTAAAGATCATTCAGTTCCAACCCCCCTGCCCTGGGCAGGGACACCTCCCACCAGACCAGGTTGCTCCAAGCCCCATCTAGCCTGGCCTTGAACCCCTCCAGGGATGGGGCAGCCACAGCTTCTCTGGGCAACCTGGGCCAGGCTCTCATAACCCTCAGAGTGAAGAATTTCTTCCTAGTATCTAATCTAAATCTCCCCTCTTTCAGTTTCAAACCATTACCCTTTACCCTATTGCTACGCTCGCTGATAAAGGTCTGTTTACACCCTGATTTAGGTGTGTTTATGTTTCTGATGATAAGCAAATATATTTTGGGGAAAACAACAATAAAAAAGAAAAACTTTAAAAAATTAAGTTTATGGTTGTGAAGACCTACAAGGTGTTTTTGAGAGGTCTTCATATGCATATTTATATGCCAAGAGATTTAAATGCATATTCACGTCACGGTGGCGCAGAGGACTCCTAACTTCTGCCTGTTCTGCATATCTGTGTTAGAAGGAGCAGCCTGCGGTACCAGACAGTTCTTGTGCCATCCCAGCCTGTTTTTAATGCACATGGGGATACCTCTTCCACTCAGCAACCCACCCCCCCTCCCTTTTGCCCTTGAGACACACTCAGCATTCTGAGGCACCCTTCTCTCCAGCTGGCCTTTGAGATGGGCAGGTCATAGCCTGGCTGCAGTCAGACGTGTGCTTCCTCCAGCAGCTTTGCAGCCCCCTTTCCAGGGGCTTATTTTTTGCTGCCTTACTGTTTTCATCGTGTTTCCTGTTTCATTTCATTGTTTTACCATTCCATCTGTTACTGTAACAATCCCTTTATAGATTTTCTTGACTTTACATTGCAGTCTGGCAGGTAGAAACAAGCATGTGGGTAAAGGAACAGAACAATGCACAACAGCAATAAAATACAGTTAATTTCCTAGGGATAGAGACAAGCAGCTAGCAAGGATACCTCAGGTTTGTTATTTTTCAGGAACTTTTTTCAGGTTTTTTTTAGTGTATGTAAATAAATAAATATATAAAAAAAGGTGTATATACATATATATATATATATACACAGATATATAGGAGAATGGTGTCTTTACTGCAAGTCCCTTCACATATAATGGCATTTGAATGGGTAAGTCAGCCAGCAGGGCACTGCAGTTTGAAACACCAGAAGTGTTCCAGGTCACAATACAGAAATAAAATAGCATTTCTTTTTCTGTAAGCCCATGCCTTCCATGGTGCTGTGGTTCATGATACAAGTGCATAAAATTAATTTAGTGCACATAAGGAAAAAGAAATGAAAGTTTTGCAGTTATGTATTTCTAACCAGATTTTTGCTGAAGCATTTTTCTTGTTTTTCTGAGTCCCAGTGTAGCAGCCTGTGCCTGTTCTGCAAAGGGCTTCAGCGCAGTATGAATGGCCAGTATTTGCAACATTCCTGCTCGGTTATCTTCTTAAGTTCTTGTCTACAAACTTTACTGAAATAAGGATTTTAAAACCACTGAAAAAATACAAAATTCTGATTATTTTCAATTAATTCACTAAGACTATCAGAATATAGAAGTGTTTGGCACAGGCAGGAGATGAAGTGGTAGATGCCTTTGTCCATGCGGGTGTTGCAGAAGGGCAGTTGCATTGTGTAAAACCTGGTTGACATGGAGCTACGTACAGCTCAACAGCGAGCTGCACGGCTTCCCTGCGCTCGGATCCCACAAGGACAGTGTGAAACGCATAAGATAAATACGGGACTAAAACTCCTCATACATCATCAAGACAACTGTTTTTCACAGCCTTTCCCTGGCCTTTTGTCAGAGTCTGAAAACAAACCTGGAATCCGCCCCGTATTTTATAACTGTTGCATGTGCTTTCTCTGAACCAGACAGCTGCTCCCCCCGAGGCCCTCTTTGGGATGCTTTCCCAACCCCCTTATCTTCAGCATCAGTCACTCTTATCACCCCTGTCTTCTCTGTCCCTCTGGGCTGGGTTGGGGACTGCCTTGGCTGCCCTGTAGGGGCTGTGCTTCTGGGGTGGACAGGATGAGGAGTTCAAGGTGCACTGGAGATTGGCTTTCAGAGATTGCGCAGTGGCCAACGGGTCAGGCGGCTGGCACCCTTCTCCTCATCCACATCACTCTGCCTCCAACCTCCCCACTGGGATGACTTGCTTCCCTGGCCTCCCACCACTTACTGTACTGGCTTCTTGCTGATGCTCCCAACACATGATGTACTCTGACTGTCTGCTCAGTCTGGTTTGATTGGGAATTGACTCGGGTTTTTGGTTGTTAGTTGTTTCTTCACCAAAACTCATTGCAAGTAGCTGTGTATTAGTGCAGGCAGAGTCTGAGGGCTTGAGCAGGACAAGGACATTAGCACATGCAACATCCCTGCTCCTCTCCAAACCACAAAGCCATGAACAGGGTTCTTTTTGTGCTTGTACATTGATTCCAGACTGCTGGAAGAAACTGGATAGATAATAAGCTGTTCTTGCTCTCTACCCTTATAATTCAAGCTGTGACTGCAAAAGTTACAGCCAAACTATTCTAGCCAGCGCGCTTCAAACCTGAAATGTGGGGCTTTTGCTATAGAGATGATGTATGATTTGATCTCTGCAGCTATTTCTGCCTCTGTCTTTTGGCAGTTTGAAGGGCATACACGTCTATTGTGCTGGAAGTTGTGTTATGTTAACATTTACTCTCTGAGTAGTGGAGAGAAGGAACCACCTCATTTTGTGATCCAGGGACTGCTTGAAAGGTCTCTTCGCTAAAGTTGGCCATACTTAAAATGTTAGGAGGTTTTTTTCTTCTGGAGTCAGAAAGGAAAATAACATTAGCACCTTATCACTTAAGAAACAGTCATCTGACTTGTGTCCGCAAGATGTATGCTAACCATACCCTCCATAAGAAATTAACTGCCACATCAGATCATCTTCCTGGCTCAGAAATTCAAGGAAGGCACAATACTTTTCTTTGATCTCTCTGTCTGGTATTTCTCTTACACTAGTCTTGGCTACAAGGGAAACTCTTCTGCTTAGGAGACTTTCTCTGTTCAGCAAGGTGTCTTAAGAAGTTGGACAAAGGCTTTTTGCTGATGTCTGAAACACTAAATTTTTTTTTTTTTGGGGGGGTGAAGAACTGGTCCATGTTTGAGAGCTATTTTGAGCGTTGTGATACTAGTTACGGGAATATGTTTGGATAATGCTATCTATGTATAGCTTCATTCCTGTCCATTTGTTATGTTTTCATGTCTCGTCATCAAATGCCTGATAATGTCTCCTCAATAGAAGAGAAGAATTGTATGTAAATCAGCTGTGTTCAAATTCCGCCTCCAGAAGAGCTGTGGTCTTAATCAGCATTAGCCTGCAAAAGTGAGACGAAGGATCTTTGAGTACTTCTTTATGAGAACACGGTGACAAAATATAGCCCTGCTCACCTGCTTTCTGACATTTATGTCTGTAATTTGTGTGGGTGTTTGCTGAGGCTGCATATGGTTATGGAAACAGAAACATTCATTAGTGGGATCCTGGGAGTCTGTCCTGTCCCATTTCCCACTTGAAGCAGGGCTGTTGCCTGTACTGGCTCAGGATCTCCATGGCTTTGTCTGAGGCTTGGAAACCTGCAAGGATGGAGAACCCAGAGCCTCTTTGGCTCCTGCTCCAGTGCTGCCATCACCTCCCTCTTGCAGCCTTTTCCTGAATGCCAGCCTTCAGCATCCATATGTCTCGTATGGTATTGTGTTCCCTTTGCTGTCTCACAAATGATACTGTTTGAATGGTGAAACCAATGTTTCATGGGTCTTCCATGGGCCTCTTGAAGATGCTAATCTTGGGCTTGCAAAATTGTATCTGACACTTAACTCCTGATTGTCACCCACTTTTACCTACCAATTTTTTTTTTGTTTTGTTTGAAAGATTTGTTTAGCAATTTATAATTACAAAAGGGTTTTGACATTTTTAAGCAAAGATTATGAAAGTGGCTCATGAAGGAGGGCGGAAACCTCATGACTTTGCCTTCCAAAACAAACCAAAACAAAGCCAGGCAAAGCAGACTTATTACGTTTAAAAAAATCCCTGCTGCCTCTCTGCGTTTTCTGGATATTAAATTCCAAGATTTAACATAGAAATAGCCCTTACCAAGGAGAACTGTTTCTGAGTTTTCCACTGAGGAACTGGTTTTGATTGAAATAAGAGACTGGAAATTCGCAGTGTATATGAGCGGTATAATTTGCTCCCATTTTCTTCTTAAAGCAGAGAGTTAAGGAAAGCTCTTTGTAGGATGTACTTCCCTGCCATGCGTGCTCCACAAAAAGAGAGAAGAGAACAGCAGGGGACTGCTCGCTGTGCGCTCAGAAGAACCCATGACTGCACGCCCCTTTCCTTCTTTCACACAAAGTGTCTTATGAAGCACAGCAGGGACGGTTTGTGTTCAGTAGGGATATATGCAAGTTGTCCCAGTTTTTGTGAAAGAAAAGTTAGCAAGTTCAGCGTACACGAGTGTTTCATGGGAAGCATTGGGGTGTTTGGCAGGGCTGGGAACAGGATGAGTAAGACAAACCATGCAAGGTGTCATGGCAATCCCTGCCAATCCAGGGGATGGAGTTTTTTCATGCAAGCTTTTGTGCACGTTTGGTGCCCCAGCACTAGAACTACCTCAGTGTCTGGAGTGGGGACTTGGCAGGGTAAGAGTTATTTTGTAGTAGGAAGCTGATATCCTTTGGATCCAACACATAGCTACTCAAATTCCACTTGAAAGCTTTAAATCTCTTGGGAAAAATAGATGGAAAGCATGAAATATAGGACGCATTCCGTATTTGTTTGACAGATGAAATATGATCAGTGAGGCCACCATGCAATGTGTTTAAGACAAGAGAAAACAATACAACTTCCAATCATAAAAAGATTTTTTTTCTAATTGCTTTGTAGGTGGTCTTTGAGGCTTTGCACAATCTGGAGCCTCGTGGGTATGTTGTCGGATGGATCATTGCCATCAGTTTGCTGGTGGGAATTCTCATCTTCCTGTTGCTGGCTGTGCTCTTATGGAAGGTAAGGAAACAGATGCACTATGAATACCACGACTAGTCTCGGGAAAAAAAAAGGTTAAGTTTGCTCTTGCATTTAACATCCATTTGCTTTAGGAACTAAATAATTGGCCAGTCCATTACAGAAGTCATTGGTCAGCAAAAATATTTTCATATCCAGACTTTTTTGAGGAACAGAGATTGACTCACAATGTAGAGAAGTGGAAAACTGGATTATTTTTTTTTAGGGCCTGGTTATTAAAAGTTGAAAATTCTGATACCATTTCAGGACAAAGGAGGATCCCTCTTAGAAACCTGCTGTTAACCTCACACTTGGTACCTCTCTATGGTTTTTTGATGACTGAGGCTCACTGATTTCAACAGGATTTCTTGGAAATCAGGTCAACTTTGCTTGACCAGCTAAAAGGTTGGGTGCATGCCTAGCAAAAACCAGTCAGTAGCTACTGTTTCAAGAGGTAAATGCCTGGGCAAGGGGAGTATCCAGCAGTAAATTCTTCATGTCCCTCAAAGAAAGACTTCCAGATGAGTAAAGTGCATTACCAGAGCAAGAAGCACCAGGACTAGCCAGCCCTCACACCATCTCTGATAAGATAAAATCCTTGTACCCAGGTGCTGTTCGATGGTAAAACTGGGCTGATGCTGACACTTAGCAGCAGCCATCTGGTGTGGTAAATATGAAGGATAAGGAGCTTCAAGTGTTTTCATTCCTCAGTTCCCTGTTACCAATCCATAAATTTAAAAGGCCACGGTCAAGGTCAGGGACTGTCTTTGAGAGAAGTAAATCTCAAATACACACATGGCAACAAGTCCAACCTTATTTTGCTTCCCGTGGCAGAGGTCCAGCAGCCTCTTTGCAGTGTGGAGCAGCGTGTGTGCCGCGGGCTCTGCTGGCCGGCTGTGCCGAAATGGGAGGTCGCAGCCCCGACGTGCTGTGAAAGGACATCTTTCTGCAGGCCATGAGGCTGTACAATGGATTCACAAACCTGGGGCCAAAATTGGCCATGCAATGCCTATTAGAGATTATGCAGGTCTGTGTAGCTGTGTTATAGATTATACATCTACTTCGTAGATTATATAAATTTTATATGGATTATAGGTTTAAAGTATTTTTGTAGTCAGTTTTGAAGATTTTTTTTTTTTTTTTTAAGCATATACTGACCAGGTCAAAATTTGACTGTGCTTTCCACTTGGAAAACAAAGTTTCACCACATTCTAGTATGTCTCCTAACTTCTGTTTTTCTGGCATGCGGGAAATGCTTTTGCTTTCTGTGGCAGAAAGAGTGAAGGAATAAAAAATAAAAATCTGTGCAATTAAGCGGACAGAGTAACCATGAGAGTGGAAAAATGTGATATTGGAGGAGGCCCAGGGTTTCTGTCCCAATGACATGCAGATTTGAAATAGGAGTTACTGCTGCTGATACTTATATGACTGATTTCAAATGGCTCATTTCCTGAAGGTAAAATGGCACTGGATGAACTGTTTGAAAATGTGCAAGGTAAAAGGAAAAGCACCTTTCACTGTGAGTCTCCATGAGAATCTGACACAAGTTCAATTCTTGGTCTCTACTAGAATTAATACAGTCCTTTGCTTCCTGGCTTAATCTTGAGACTTGAGCTCTTTAAAATTTTATAGGGATAATTCAAGTGCACATGAAGAAGCTGCCATTTTGTTGCATGAAAGCCTTGAGGGAAATTCCAAGTGACAGCAACAAATAATTATAACTAACACCAGGCACCCTTTCTGCATGTAGATGTTGAAGTGCTGAGGCAAAGCAAGGTGAGATGTGGCAGAGGTGACAGTAAAACCCAGGCTTTGTCAGCTGCGCTCCAGTGCTTTATCCACGGAGTTGCAGGATTACTCAAGGAACCAATAACTTACGGTTTTGGCTGAGAGAAAAGTGATTAAAACTGTGTAGCTGCTAGTATCAGACAGTATTTTCATTTAAGTCTTAGTTGGAACATAAATATACATAAGTAATACTTGCACTCACTACTTACTATGTTTATTAAAGTTATTGGCAGTATTAAAGTTGTCTGAGATAAAACTGACATGGGAAAGTTGCAGTCCTAGAGAGGAATCTTAATTGTCTGATTGTAAATATTTGTTAGACAAAATTAGCCAAGTGTATCGTATAGTCATTCCTAAATTTTGCGTGCGAGGAAATAAAAAAAACCCTTATATTAGAAGTGTTTTAGTCTTAACCGTGGAATGAAAGAACAGACTTGAATCAGATGGAGTTTTGGGCATTTTAGAACCACTAGTGAGAGCTAGAAATGACTAAATTTTAGGACTAGAATATTAACTAAATTATATTTTTATTGAGAAATTAATTAGAGCTAAAGTGTGGTCCTGGTCCTGGAAGGCAGCTGGTCACACAAAACAGAGCAGGAGCTGGAGCAAACCCATTCTAAGGGAATTGATCCCTGGCAGCAGTGCAGGGCTTGCTGGGAGCAACTGTCTCCACCTGATGTGGAAGGTACACTCACTGTGTGCATCACTGCACCATGAGTGGTGCAACACAACTCACAAACCCTTGAGCGTGCCAGTATTTTGCAGATGGAGCAAGGAGCTCCTTAAAGTTGCACTAAAATATCAGAATATGTATAAATATTTCACATTGCACGCTGGTAGAGTCAATGGTGTTAGCAGGAGTGAGCTCTCAGGGACATTCCAGCCCCAAATCCTATTTTGAATCAGAATAAGGTCACTGTGCATACAATACAATGGGGATAGTAATTATTTCAATATTTGTAGATCTAAAGTTGCACAGTTTAGGGATCCATGTCAATTGAAGTGATGTTAAAATGCCTGGTTGTTTTACTTCAAATAAAAGCTTATTTATTCTTGTGCAAGACCACAGCCCTGTTTATACACCCATAACAAACTTCTTAGCGTGAGCTTGACCAGCTTTTGACTGGCTTTGCTTCTCTGTTTACTTTAGTATTTCATGTAGACACCATGTTTCCTCTGGTTTCACCCAGGGAATGAGCAGCTTTTCACAGAATCACAGAATATTCATTGTTAGAAGGGACCTTTGAGATCATTGAGTCCAACCACAAAAAAAACCAACAAAAAAAACCAAAAACCACACAAACAAAACCACACACCTACACCACACCCACCCACAGAAAGACAAAACCCAACAATCTCAGGCACTAGAGCAGGCCCTGAAGTGCCACATCTACTTGTTCCTTAAATACCTTTAGGGATGGTGACTCCACCTCCCTGGGCAGGCTCTTCCAGTGCCTGACCACTCTTTGAGTAAAGTAATTCTTCTTAATATCTAATCTAAACCTCCCCTGCCCCAACTTCAGACCATTTCCTCTGCTTCTATCAGTATTCCCTTGGGAGAAGAGGCCAACCCCCACCTCTCTACACCCTCCTTTCGGGGAGTTGGAGAGGGCAATGTGGTCTCCCCTCAGCCTCCTCTTCTCCAAACTCAACATGCCCAGTTCCCTCAGCCTCTCCTCATAGGACTTCTTCTCCAGACCCCTCCCCAGCTTGGTGGCTCTCCTCTGGACACACTCCAGCAGCTCAATGTCCTTCCTGTAGTGAGGGGCCCATGACTTTCCATGACTTCCAGGAGATGCCATGCAGGCTGGCAAGAGTTGCCCCATTTTTCCTATTGTGGTGGAAAGCCCCGTTTCACCCTGACACTTGGGGCTGTTTGTGTATTGTTCACCCACTCTCAGTGTCTTTGTGCAGGCGTCCATGGGGAGGTGCTCCTGCTCTTGCTGGTCCTCCTGCAGCACAGCTCACCCTCCCCACTCGAACCTCGCCTGCGGTCTCCCATGTGGAAGAGGAGCAGGAGGGGCTCTTCTGCAGTTGCCCACAGCAATAAGTCTTTCTTTTAACTGCACTGATGGGCCTGCGCTTCTTTGGTGGCCTCCAGATGCTTGTGGAGAGCGGAGCAGGGGAGGAGTTTGCTTTGCTTCAGGCCAACTACCCCAGTGCTAGAGGAGCCCGTGATTTCACAAGCACTGGCAACAATTCAGGAGGGAAAGGTGGTCGCAGCTGGATTATTTTGGGGAGTGCTGTCCCACAGACACGTCCCTCAGCCATCAGGACTGCAGTCCTGCACAGGCGCAAGGTCCCCTTCAGGCATTAGTAGATTTATGCATGTGTAAACCAGGGGAAAATTGGCATAGACCGTGCAAATGAAAAACTGAAGCATGATATATTGTAACACAATAAATATTCTAGTAATAACAGTAGTGCCTGACAATGCTGTGAATTGAAGTTTCTGCATTCCCCATTGGCTGGGGTTGTGGAGTGAATTATTCAATCCATATTATTTTAGATAAAGTGCACAGAAAGAAACAAAATATCACAGAAGGAATGTGTAAGCAAGTACCAGGCTGGCAGCTGAGCTATCTGTGGAGACTTGTGGAAGTGATTTGCAGAACAAAGATTTTTATATTCATTGCAGTAACTTTATTTTGTTTCTTTGTGGCATGTTTAACACAGGAGCTGGACTTTCATCTGAACTTATTTATCTAGACATTAGGCTTCTTTCTGAACTGAGCCTGTCCCTGTAGTATCCAAGCTCTGAATTGTCTAAAATGAGATTTTTAGCACTGTTTTGTAGCTTTTGGATTCCAGGGACAAAGTTTCATCTCTTATGTCATAAGACATTCTTCTGCTTCAAACCCTGGATTTTTGACAGTATTGCATAGAGGAGAAGCACAAGCAAAATGGCCTTTGAACTGGCTTTTTCCAATGGGGAGGGTGAATCCTACCAAGGGCCGGACTTGCAAAATCCTCATTTAAGCAGAGGCTGTATGCATGGATGCAACTGTTTTCTAGCACTGCTTTAAGGGACAAACTTTGAAATATAAAGCTTTCTTTATGAAATACGAAGCTCTTTTAAAAAAGCTGGACAACCCAAACATTTTTTTCAAATGTGCATTTGGGCTTTTTGCTTGGAGAAGCTTTATAACTTTCTTCTGTGATTGCACAAGTGTCATTGAAAAAACATTTGTATTCCCTTACATGCGGTAGTT